GTGCAGTGGTGGAATGAAACTCAACATTTACTAAAGTACAGATTTAAGGTAGTTGACTTTATTTTCATTTTCATGTGAATAAAAACCAGGTAAATATTGGACTTTTCACTCCCTTTTTAATTGCTGTAGTCACTTTACCCATACTTACCTACAAAGCTGTATTACTTTTACACAAAATGTGACCCCCTTTTAAATTATAATGCACTTGTTCCCTGAAGAAAACCTTCTTTATCAAGTAATTTGACTATAATTATTTTCTCAAAGTTTGAAAAGGCCACCAGTAATATTCTGAATATGAAAAATTGTTTTCAATGCAAATCAATTCAAGTCAAGTATTTTCTAAAATTAAGTTTGATTTTCATTTAATTTCTATTGCTGCAATGCGCCTTACTTGTTTCTTCTGACAAGTTAATTTGAATTAAAAGGAGCTTGAAGTACTCTTACTGCACTAACAGGTTTTTAAATCAAATCAAATTTGTGTTTTAAGAAGATATGGTTCTTAAGACTCAATTATATTCAGAATTTATTTTGTTAAACTCTACTTACACATTACATTAATAATAATATTAAAATAATATAACACTATGAAAGGGGGCATTCTACTTTTTACTTTTGATAATTTAAGTCAGTACTTTTCCTTCGTGTGTGTAGGTGTGTGTGCGTGTGTGAGACAAATTATTATTACGGAGATTCATTGCAACATCTTACCTTTCCTATAAGCACAGTCTGTGACATACAATGCAAACTCTCAACACTTACATACTCTGGCACACACACAGTCACACGTGCATACACAGGTGTACATGGAGTTGCGAGAGCCATTTGTTGAATGACGGGCTGTTTGGAGTTGGGGTGGGATGAGGGGGCTGGTGGGGGTGGAGAGAGCTAGAAGTGGAGAAGGGAGGCAGAGGTGTGGAGGTGAAGACAAGCTGGACGTTCAGAAACAGGCTGTCTTTGTGCCTGAGGCTCAGTGAGTGAATGCATGTGTAACAAGGTAGAGCAGCTCTGTAGAGATGTGTGTGTGTGTGTGTGTGTGTGTGTGTGTGTGTGTGTGTGTGTGTGTGTGTGTGTGTGTGCGTGTGTGTGTGTGCTGTGTGTGTGTGTGTGTGTGTGTGTGTGTGTGTGTGGTAAGGGGGTGAGTTAGTTTCAGCGTCCTCTGCTCCCAGGTCTCAGCTGTGGTGTAATTGATTAAATGAATTAGTATGAAATATGGAATTAAACTCAGTGAATAGGGTCACATGTTATCTGGGTTTGTGAGTGTGTGTGTGTGTGTGTGTGTGTGTGTGTGTGTGTAGGCGGATGTGTGATTAGAATGAAATATGAAATTAGTCGTGATAAATAGCGCCATATGCACACATGTAATTGAATTAACCACTCTGTGCTCGGAGTGTTAGCATAAATGAAATGTTCACCTCGTGTGCTTCATCCTGCAGAGGGTGGCAGGTTGGTCAGAGACTGTTTTAATAGTCAAAAATGCTGCTTGTTTAATTCCTCTCCCAATATTTGGTGTCCAGGATGTACAGCTGGGTGGAAAATTGAGGGAAAAAGAAGCATAAAATGTCTGGCTCTCTGCTGGAGGGATGAGGGACACCATTCTTTGAAAAGATATTTGATGATGGCGGTGGAAACGTTGTTTAACACGTTGGTTTAAGACCTCTCATCGGTGTTTAATAGGGGTGAGAACTGATGACTGTGAAACCTCGATCATATGATTCACATCATTTTAATAGTGAACAACAGTGGTGGAAAAAGTACTTTCAAAAAATATTGTTTGGGGCATTTGGTGCCTTTTGTTTGATAGCCCAGGGAAATAACAGGAAGGCGAGAGGGGGAAAAGACATGCAACAAAGGGCCCTGGCCAGATGTGAACCGTAGCCTCAACTGAGCACCAGGGTATTAAAAAAAACCCTCAAAATCTTTTACTTAATGATGTAATATGTAATGTATGTAATATGTTATATATTTTATTATGTAGTGTATTAATATTATCCCAAATGTTTCTAACAATTTTCAAACCCAGAAAAATCAGTAATTTTATTCAAGTAACGGTGCGTTTCACTGATGAACTGTCAATGCCATTACATCCCTTGTGCTATGCGTTGTTGTTTTTATTCAGTTTTAAGCCACATTTCTTTAATATATTTTTTAGATCTTCGCCATTTTTAACTATATATCTTAACTGGATGAGGGATTTTAAGTCATCAGACGTCTGGATCTTAAGTTATCAGAGAAACAAGCTGAGCTACCGTTAGCAGCAGCTCGGCTGGCAGGCCCTCTGGGACGTCCTTTGTCTGCCAAACAGTGTCACAGATTTTTAAGATGAAAATACTTTTTTCAATGTTTTTATTGATTTTAATCAGCAAGTCTGTTTCTTTTGGAGAGGAAAGAAACACAGCTCTGCGGATTATTCGGCTCCTGGTAAAAACTTCTTGAACGATGAATACTGAAGGAATCCTAACCAGGAGAAACTGACTGCAATGACAACGATGGTGGTGAAGTCCCATGATCCCACGTTACTTCACGACGTAGCCAAAAGTTGTTCTTTATTGTTTTGAGCGGCAGAAAGTAAATATTGTACTAAGTGAAAGTAGTATAATGTAAAAATACTCACACACTCGTCACAAGCAAAGGTCCTGTATTCACTATTGTTTTGAAGTACATCAGCAAAAATCCTTGAATATGAAAAATTTGTGTTATATAATTTATACATACTAAATTACTGTTTACCGCAATAAAATGCATGCCACACATAGATTTTCGAGGTTGAGAGAAGATATTTTGTACCTTTGGGAAGAAATTTCCCTGTATGTGTACCTCTTCCAGGCCTACTCTAAAGGCACATATACTGTACAAATACACATGCATACACTAAAATACAACAGTAACAAGATTTTCTGACTTGTGGACACTCACACACAGACTTCCTCATAAGTGAGATCAGATGCTTCTGGCACAAACAGGAAGCTAATATAATCTAATATCAGAGCCTGTTTGAGTTGCACACATCATCTCCTCTGGCCACGCTACTGTCAAATCCTCATGAGCTTTATAGTGACTGTGTGTGTGTTTATTTTACTGACACAGTCAGGAGGGAACGAGTAGCCATGACCGAACTTAAGGCCGGCAGTGATGTGAGCGTACATACTGTAGTTGAGTCATGTTAAAGCAAAACTACCCGGCTATGACACACAGCACATAAAATATTAGTCACAGAGCAGCTCTGTTTGCTGCATAGCAGTCAAGATTATGGGCACACATACACACTCATTCACACATATGCACATACACATTCAAATAAGTTAATCCAGGGTGGCACAGTCTGGCAGAATGCAGTATGTGCAGTAGAGGATTACACTCACAGCGTGCAAACTCTGCACACACACATGCACACATTCAACACATTTACTCTCTTGACTGAGTACAAACTGAGCTTTAAAAGAACAAACACAGTGTTGATATGCAGACTGAGTGAAAAATTATCTAGCACTTTAGAGGCTTCGGCACTTTCTTTGAAACCTATCCAACTCCATAACCTTTAGTCGAAAAAGGGAGTTTGGATCAGGTTCAACCTCTTTGCAATAAAAAGTTTTAAAATTCATGTTAAGGGCATCCAGAAAGTGGGTGCAAAGTTATTCATTTATGAATCATAGTTGTAGGTGGAGAGAACAATAGTGATTGCAGAGGTACAGGCTGGTTTACATATATGCACTGTTCAGTGTCTGTCATAAAGGCTGGAGGGTGTTTACATCTGCTTCTTGTACCTTCTGCTGTTTTGTTCATTTGACTGGACAGATTTATGACTGTTGCAGTGTGAACAGTTTGGTGTCTTTGTGTTGTTATGTCTGAACTGGTTTGTGTCACGCAGGTGCTGGCTTCACATTGTGTTCTGTTGTGTTTCTATTCTCTATTTAGTGTGTTTTTTCCCACCAATATAAAAGGCAGAGACACAAACCTGTCCTAAGAAATCCACAGACGAAGGTTGGTGCACAACCCCTTCCAATTATCTGTAATAAAACTAAAAGTGTGATGTTTATTCCTAGAGGGCTCCAGAAACCATAAAATAAGAACTCAAACATGGAGTTAGCCACATGATAGTGAACACCCACCAATTAATGGCAATTTCTCCCACAAAATATCAGCTCATTTGGTCCACGGATCAAAGAAATCAAAGGCTTGATGCAGCACATTAACTTCATAGCAGCGAGGGAAACGAGGGATAGTCCTGCATTAAAAGTTATCAGCAGTCAGTATTGAGTATTGCAAGTCATCATACACTCTTCAGATTGAGGTATTATTTTGGTTTTAATATATTTAGATTATTTTTTTTTTTTTGGTGTCCGGGGGGCTCAAAATGTTTTGTCAAATGTCAAATTTACATTTAAATAATAACTGTTCTCTTTTTCTGGGTTCTTTTGCTTGTGTCTCTTGAAAACACTGTAAAGAAGTTTAAGTTTATTATTATTATTATTATTATTATTATTATTATTATTATTATACTTTAGCAAGGGGGGGAAACATATAAAGAATTATGGTGATCTCTAAGGAGCTCTGGTTTGTCTCGATCAGCTTTCATTCTGACAAATGGCAGCACTGCATCGGAAACCCATTATTCTCTTCGGTATACGCTGTGATTTAATAGCAACTTACCAGCGTTTTACAACTTTTATCTCCGGCCTCTTCATTATTTTGTGGACTGCTTTCTCTCTCTCTCTCTCTCTCTCTCTCTCTCTCTCTCTCTCTCTCTCTCACTCTGTGTGTGTGTGTGTGTGTGTGTGTGTGTGTGTGTGTGTGTGTGTGTGTGTGAGAGAGAGAGAGAGGGAGAGAGGGTGTGTGTGTGTGTGTGTGTTGAGAGAGAGAGAGAGAGAGAGAGAGAGAGAGAGAGAGAGAGAAAGTCGTGGTAGGCGGGTTTTCCGCCAGCAGGGTTTGGTTGATTCTCTATTGATTTGTTGGAGGGGCAGAGGAGGAGGAGGAGAAAGTGAAAGGGGAGGAGTGGAGGAGAAACCCCGGCCTGGTGAGGAAGAGAGAGATGTGATTGTGCGTGTTTGGGACGAGAGAGGAGAGCACAGAGTGATCACAATCAAGGCTAAAGTCCGACCGCGGAGGGAGCGCACCTAAATCACGTGGGGTGTGGATTTGTACAGGGAAAAAGTAAAAGTGTCGGCGGGGTGACTTGTGCTTGCACTTTGTTTTCCTCCTCTCTTTGCCTTTCCACTCCCTCCGCCCTGCATTCCGCGGAGCAGCTGTGTTTTAATGCCCCTGCGCACCCGAGGAGGAGAGGAAGGAGAGAAGAGTGAGGCAGAAGGGGCAGAAGAAGAAGAAGAAGAAAAAGGAGAAGTGAGAAGGCCTGGACACCACCCCTCCTTGCCCTTTGGAGGTCTGTCCACTCTCCCCTCCTGGCCCTGCATGGACGGGGATGGGGAGAGCCGGATGCTGTTGCCGCGGGGCTGAGCGCCTCGCCTCCCCGTCTCTGGTGCGCCGCTTCCGGCCACTGCTGCTGCTGATCATCGCTCTCTGCTGCGGCGCTCACATAGGTAACTAACTACACTTCAACACTGCTCAACAACTAGTGTGTCTGTCGGTCATGATCGCAACAAATCTGTAATTTTACGCACTTTGTTATCCAATTTCACACTAATTGCTGTGCGCTGCGCCAACTGCAACCACAGTAACAACATTTCTGTTCAGTCTGTTGCATTTAGTAGGGAGCAGAGATACTTTATTAGTTATTAAGCGTTTGTAATCATTGTATGGTCGATCCTTGTGTTGGGCCCAGTGCTGCCTGACAATGGCTCTCTCTCCAACGGCAGTGCAGCAGTCTGAGCACGGATCGAGTTTCTCCTCCTCTCTCCTGGGCCGTCATTCTCCTGTCTGCCCCTTAATGGCTCATGGAGGAGGGGAAGAGAAGGGAAGAGAGGGTGACTACCTCTCCTCATGTCCATATATAACAGATTACAGCTTTACTCCGAGCACTATTGAAAGAATCTGAATCTATCCAAGTGCAAATCTGATCCTGAAAGTTAGGATCAGGGCTGTACTGTGCTGTAAATCTGACTAAACCTATTGTGGGAAATCATTTATGTCCAGTTGCATGATGCAAATTAATAAAATGCCTGATAAGAAGTAATATCAAAGTGATTAAAGTTACACAAGGTAGACTCTTTAAATGAAAAAGCATAAAATTATGTTTTTGCTGAACAAAAATTTCTTGTATTCAAGGTTGTTTGAAAAGCAGAAACTCACAGTCTGAGCCAAATGCTGGACAGAAAGGGAAACAAAGAATTAAACAAAAGAAAAGTCTTTTCACTAATAGCATAATAAGGTGATTGTATGGATTATTGACACAAAAAGATTATATGACTTCTTTTCTGTGGCTATACAGAGGTCATGATTTACTAACCTCTTAATTACCACATTGCTTGTTGGTTTTAAATTCATCAGGTTAAGTCTGGTGAAGACACAGATGCATTTTTAACCCCCTCATTCAGTATAAAATGCAGCATAATGTTCTCTTTCCAGAAACCAGCTTTTTTAGGGGGGCCAAGTCTGTGTGTGTGTGTGTGTGTGTGTTGCTGTGTGTGCAGGGGGTCGGCTGTTGTGGCGGCTGTCTGTTGAGCAGTCACACCTCCAGTAATTAGTTTAACACGGCTCAGGCAGCGGGACAAAACCGCCTCTGCACACAGCCTGGTGGGAACAGAGAGACCCACTTCACATTAAAGACCCTCTTGGCACCTTTTGCTACACATGCGTCACCTGGAAAGAATGTATTATTTAGTCTGTTTAGCCAAACAGAAGAGTTTTATTTGTTATAACTTGTACATTTCGAGGAATTTAGCCACATTTCATTGTCGCTCCGGCCGTTCAGCTCCATGTGTCTGTTTAGACGGGGAGGCAGGAATGTCTGAGTTGTTGACTATTGTTCGCACTTCTGAGTGTCTCGGCGAGAGAGAGAAAGAGTGCACGCTGTAGTGATCTCCTGTAAAGCTTTGTATCTCTAAGCTTGGAGGGCTGTTTGTGTGATTTGAGCTCAGTGTGTGAGAGAGTGCACACAACAAGGTGATCAATAAGCACTTCACAGGCCATTCCCCCCTCGCTTAAGAGATGATCCCAGTAGATCCTTTTTCTGATCTCTGGAGATCAGAGAAGTTGAAGGCTGTCGGATAGGGAAACTAAGAATCGCTAAACCAAGCTTGAGAGATTCAGCTGGTGGATCTTTTGACCTCTGTCTGATAGAAAAGAGGGTGCCTGCAGGATGCAGGGAAGAGAGAGATGACCAGGGGGTGAGGAGACCCAACCAGGGATTCAGACAGAGAGGGCTGAAGGCGAGAATAGTGTTATATCGGAACAGTGCTGATGGGGGGAAATGAGTTGAGCAGGGGAAAACAAAATCTGACAACAGCTGAGGCTTGAGAGAAAAGATGATAAAGGCAGCTGTGAGAGGGGGATGGAGTGAAAAAAGATAGGTTAATATTGTGGTAGGACATGGAAGGAGTGGTGTGGGCATTGCTGGTTGTTTTATTGTGTCTATATTGGATACTTACCCCAGGGGATGAAACAAACCAGGCTCTGGATGTGTGAGCGGCCCTTGTTCATCAGTTCTTAAGATGAGAAGCTCTTTATTCTCTTCTTTAAAATATTTTCAAGTCAATTTGGTATTCATCACCTCGACTACCACAAATTGCTTATTTATATGCATAGATTGGCTTCTCTTTTGAAAGTACAGCTATGCATGCGTAGAAAGGGCACTAAGGACGACGGCTGCACAAAAAAGAGATCATGGAAAGCCTTGAAGAATGGAATTATCAAAATTGTACTTTGATATTGTTTCAGAATATTATTAATCATCATTCAAAAATGTTCTTTTTGCTTGATGCAATCTCCAGAGTGCAGGGTCAGCTATAGAGCAGTGCAATAGGAGCCTGTGTGAAACTTAAGCAGACGCTTGTTGTCAGAAAGGTTTTAACCTTTATATAAGTCAGTGGTTTGAACCCCTAGTTCTTCAGTTACAGGGTCGACTCCCTTCTCGCTACGTCACCCTGCTGGTAACATGTCAGTGAATGAGTGCTTTTGTGTGTTTTTAGAGCAGCTCATGATTCCGATACTCTTCGAAAGAGAATAAACCCACTCTGATTAGATTGGGAGCGGTATTTAGGTACTGCAGGGCAGATAGGAGGGAGAGCAGGAGGCTGTTGGTGCGCCAGTCAAAGACACAATGTGTCCTCAGTCCTCAGACCGTCTGTACAGTGGTGGTTGGCATGGAAGGCAGCCGTGTGTGTGTGTGTGTGTGTGTGTGTGTGTGTGTGTGTCTGTGGGTTGGTGTCAGTATTTAACAGGCAGGAGAGAGATTCTGAAGCATGGTGTGAGTGGGGGTCTATACCTGCACCCTGATTTGTAAAACTCAGAGCACTACTGCCCCCAAATGGTGGCGCCCAACTCCGTCATGCCCCAAAATCAAATAAATGTACCAAGAAGAGCTGGAATGTGCTGTTTGCTCGTGTGTGTTTTTATGTGTTAGTGGCAACTTACGGTTGTTAAGTGATGGTGTGACATCAAGGGAATCTGTTTGTTTCAGGAAAAAACAAGTACGTTCTGCTTTTGCTTGGCTATTAAGAGATCATACCACCATCTGAAGTCTGTATGTGTTTAACGGAGGCACAACCAGCATTCTTTCCAGGATAGCTATTTGTGTGTGTGTGTGTGTGTGTGTGTGTGTGTGTGTGTGTGTGTGTGTGTGTGTGTGTGTGTGTGTGTGTGCAGCTGCCCATACACTGCAGAGCCTCTCTCTGGCCTAATCTAATAGGAGCACGCTGTGACTGATGCATTAGGTCTGGTCTCTAATCTCTCACTCTCGCTCTAACTCCCTCTCTCTCTGATGATCTATGATATAAAAGGCTGGTTTGACCCTTGTTACATTCAGAAATGTAGCAATAGATAAAACATCAGGGACAATTTCGGACCAAGACATTTGTTCCTAATGGGTATACGAGGACAGAATAATCTGTCTCTATGGATGCATTGGATTGCATTTTCTCTGGTGCTCATTGTTATAGCTGTAAACCAACACTAAAGTGACAATTGTTATATTTAATAAATATGTATTTTTGGTTGTGTATCTTCTCTGTTAAAGCTACACAGAATCACACACACAGTACCCCTAAAAAATGACCACACACCTTGTATTTTCCGGCTCCTTCTGTCTATAATACTGTATGTGTTCTGTGCACTCTGGCTATATAAGCAGTATTATCTCACTCCTTGTGGGAAATCGTTCTTTATCTTTTCTCTCTGGTTGCTCTTTGGTTTATTACACCTCAGGTTTATTACACTCACAGAGCGGCATTGCTGATTGATCAAGACTTTCAACCTGCGGCTTGTTCTTTTTCCAGTTTTATTAGGTTGGATTGTAACAAGCCGGTAGCATTATGTGTTTAACTTCAAAGGTGTTTACGTACCTTAGTTGTCTTCTGTATTCACATGAACTTTGCATTTTGAGTGAAGTCTAGCTCTCAGTGTAGTATATACTTGAATTGTCAGGCAATTAAGCTGGTTACCTATCAGTATTACTGTGTTAACAATATTTCTGCACCTCTCTCTCTGTCCTCTCCAGGTCAGTGCCAGGTGGCCACCACTCAGTGCCGTATCCAGAAGTGCACCACCGACTTTGTCTCCCTGACCTCCCATCTGACGCCAGCCGTGGATGGCTTTCACACAGAATTTTGCAAGGCTTTACGCGCGTACTCGGCCTGCACCCAGAGGACAGCCAAGTCCTGCCGGGGGAACCTGGTCTTCCACTCGGCAGTGCTGGGCATCTCCGACCTCATGAGCCAGAGGAATTGCTCCAGAGACGGGCCCACTTCCTCCACGCACCCCGAGGTCCAACACGAGCCCTGCAACTACCACAGCCGCACCCAGCACGCTCACACGCACTCACACGCGCACACACACTCCCATACTCACAGCCACAGCCACGGTCAATCACAGCCCGGGTACCTGTTCTGTGGGCTGTTCGGGGACCCACACCTGAGGACATTTAAGGACAGCTTCCAGACTTGTAAGGTGGAAGGGGCGTGGCCTCTCATCGATAATGACTATCTGTCGGTACAGGTCACTAATGTTCCAGTGGTACCTGGCTCCAGTGCCACAGCAACCAATAAGGTGAGACGAGAACTGGGGAGCAGAGAGAAATGTGCTTTTTGTGGTCTAATTTGATGTTATTAAGGCTGAAAGAGTTTCCTAAGTGAGAGCAGCTGGTGTAATCTAGTTTATTTGTGTGTGTGTGTGTGTGTGTGTGTGTGTGTGTGTGTGTGTGTGTGTGTGTGTGTGTGTGTGTGCGCGTTAGAGCAAGAAGCATTTTCTATAATGACCTCTAAGTTTCTTTTCTGTGCCTCAGAGTAAGAAATCTTATCAATGTGAGGCTGGAAAACACCCCTGCTCTATTTTTCTCTTTCAGAGTCACAAGTGTGAGGCAAACAGCCCAATGTTGTAACTTATCTCTTGTGACTTAAGCAACCTAACTTGGTTAATGGCTGCATATAGCCTGACCTCTAATAACATGGAATGAGAAGTGTGAAAGGACCCACTGTTTACTTATGTGTGTGTTTGCAAGCATTTGTGTGTGTCTGTCTCATAAGTAGCACTCCTTCAACTGCACTCAGCTTAAAGCACTATGTGTGTTAAAGGTCCTTATCCCTTAATGACAAAAAAGACACACACACACACACATCACCAAATGGAGAATGAGCCACACAAGGTGATCTTTGTGGTGTTAAAGAAGCTATGTTGATGTTTCCCTCGATGATCTGCCCTCTCTAGCTTAGTCGATAGCTTTAATTATTAAAACACATACACACCCATGCATACACTTAGTAATGCACACGTTGGTTGAAACACACACATTAAGCAAATTGTAGGGTTGCTACACTGTGGAGCTGAAGGTTTGACCTTGTGTCAGAGGTGGGGCAAGTTATTAGTCACGATTATTAGGGACACACACACACCCAAACACACACATACACACATTAACAGCCCTCCAGGCTTAATGGCCTGCCAGGCCTCATTCCTCACGGCTGTCATGTGAACAAAGCAGCCATTCACCGGAACTATGATGCTAGTGCTAACCGTAATGCTCACACCACACCCTGTATCCACCGCTGCCTCCACTCACCACTGGAGCCCTGTGTGTTTTATATGTGTGTGCATGTGCCAGCATGTTTGCATAGCTGTGTCAAATTACAACTTGTTAAAAAGTCATTTAGTCATTTCACAAATGAGAGTCAATAACCTGTGTAACGGGTGAATGTTAATATTTGTGTGTGTGTGTGTGTGTGTGTGTGTGAGTGAGTGTGTGTGTGTGAGGGAGAGACTGAGCGACACCCTTTACCTTATCTCTAGGGCTGTAACTAATGATAGTTTTCATTATCAATTAATCTGGTGATTTTCCCAAATTAATTGATTCATGGTTTAGTCTATAAAATGTTTTAAAATAAAGAAATAGTCCAGAACCTTCCCAATTTACAACCACACAAAACAGAGAATCTGTTATCAAAGCAGTTGCAGTTAGTCTTGATCAGATAATACACAAATTGGGGCTGCAACTAATGATAATTTTCAATTTCGTTGAGTTTTTCGATTATTTTATGAATCAGCTGATTCCTGTAAAATGCCCAAAAATTGGGAAAAATTACCATCACATTTTCACAAGTAGTCGAAATCCCAAAGATATTTCATTGACTATCATATATGACTAAGAAAAGCAGCAAATCATCACAGTAATTGATTAATTTACTTATTCTTTCAGCTCTACCCATCTCCTTGGTGAAAGTGTCTGTCCTGTATCTAATGAATTAACTCTGTAACTGCCTGCCTGTCAATTCTTGCATTTTCAAATTCACTGACCACACTAAACTTCAAATATCTCGACAACTTATCTGATGCTCCCTCTCTATAGATCACCATCATCTTTAAGCCGTATGAGGGTTGTACAGACCAGAGGGTCTACCAGGCAGTCACAGACAACCTTCCTGCTGCCTTTGATGATGGAACTGTGAGCAGTGGAGACCCCATCCACACTTCGACTGGAGCAGACGGTGCATCTGGAAAGGTCCGGGCTCTGTGGATCTCGGAGCGCAGCCCTGGGCGCCACGTGGAGCTATACGCTGGCTACATTGGTGTAACTGTAATCGTTCGCCAGCTGGGCCGCTACCTGACCCTAGCAGTGCGGATCCCAGAGGAGCTGGCTCAGGCCTATGATGCCACCCAGGACCTGCAGCTCTGTCTGAATGGCTGCCCCAGCGGAGAACGCATTGACCAGGCAGGGCATCTTCCCCTGCCACTTTCCCCTCCTGCACTCGGCCTACAGCTTCAGCATCGGCGTCGGCCCAGCTACTCCTTACAGACACAAGCATCCCCCTACGGTGCCATGCAGGTTTTCGGTGTGGAGGGGGCGAAGGAACGCTGCAGGGAGCAGCTGGAGGTGCAGGACATTTATTTCCACTCCTGCGTGTTTGATCTTCTGACCACAGGGGACGCTAACTTCACAGTGGCGGCATACAGCGCCATGAAGGACCTGGAGAGTCTTCACCCGCACCGGGAGAGATGGAGGATCTACCCTCGCGGCTCTGCCACCTCCACCTCTCAACCTATCACACGGCTTGCTCTGCTCCTGCTGTGTGCTCTGAGCATGGCGTCGATGTAAGAGAGGGAGTGGGAGTGTGTGTGTGTGTGTGTGGGCTTGTGTATTCGAAGAGAGAGTTTTTTTGCTGAGCACTGATACTGAGCACTGATTCCTCTACATTGTAGAGAGGAAACAGCAGGCTGGACAGTTACTGGGAACTAGTTTTTGTAGAAGAGGTGGCAGAGCTCCCAGTGGGCCCAGGAGACACTGGCAACACTAACTGCATCTCACCCCGCAGAATCAGCCCTCTGGGGAATAACACAGGAGATGTGATGATGGCTTTCGCAATCTATCTTCATCTTTGGATAGGACGCTTAACAATGACACAAACGTACCTGTGTGGGGGGAAATTGAGTGTGTGGATATACACTCCAAACTGTAAATAGCTTGTCTTCAGTGCACAGTGTAATGGCGTAGAGTTGTTTTTTTGTGTCATTTGATGTGATTTTTCTTTAATACCTCAGACAGAGGATGTTTGTTTTAACAGAAGCACTTTATTTAGATTTTTTTTTTCTTTTTTAACAAATCCACATCAGTGTTTCTTCCTCTCACTTGCTGTCCTCCACCAAATTCTTCGATGGCTGGAGACTATCTATGATTAGATTTTTGGTCCTTTCAAAGTACAAGTCTGGAGCTGCCATTTTTGTTAAAATGCATCATTCTTCCAGTAGCTGATTTGACTCAGCGTGTCATTTTAAGTCAATGTGAGTCGTGCTCTTTTGAATGTATTATGAATATTGTCACAGCAAATGCCATCAGTACTATTTTGTTGCTGTATAAATTTGTTGTTTTTCCTTGGTCCTGATTTCAAATATGTGCAAGTGTGTGGCTGCATCAGTGTTTTTTTTTTGTTTGTTTTTTTTACCAGTTAATGACATGTTTGGATGTGTTTTTGTTTCCTCTGAAAATCCTTTTTGCCAAGAGGCTGTGATGATACCGGCTTGTGTATGTTGCTCACCGTATTCTTTGTTGTGTTCATTTGAGCCAAAGACAGATAACGTATGGTTTTCATGTACAAAGGAAATCATAACTCACCACCAAACCAGCACCCTCCTCCTCCTCACACTCCCTCCTCTGTTTTCAAAGTTGCTACTGTACTTACTTACTTACTTTACTCCTACTGCCAGAATTGACGAGCTGCTCCTTACTGGGATACGTGTAAGATACTGGAGTGTAGACAAAACACTGCAAATGACTGAGAAAACTTTACCACACTGTTTGCTGAGACATGTGCTTCAGCAGTGCGTTGTGGTATGCCATTCGACACCTGATAGAAATGCCAACCCTTAACACTATGAGCCTTTTTAACATGTAACATTCTGTATAATTATGCCCCATTTAGTTGGCCATATAAGCTTAATCTCAGTTTTTTGGCATTGTGATCTCTTAGATCATGTGTGAGTGTCAGTTTGGTGAAGAGTGGCTGGTCAATGTTGAAATACTTAACTTATTTATGAACGTAGTGTCCTGTAGAGGAAGTTAAGCTCCATATTCTTGCTGTTGGATAATAATTTAAAAAAATGTCAGATGTGATTGTACTGCCACCTAGTGGTGCTCTGTTGCTATGTCAGTGTGTTACTTAAGGCGCTCAAAAAAAAAACATGAGGAAAAAAACTGTGTGCAAGTGTTTTATTTAAAAAAACAATAAAGTCAAAATGGTCCAAGTTTACTTCCCTTTGTTAATGTCACATTCACAAGAATATAAAAAAGCAAAACAGGTTACTAAAAATGTTTATTTATAAATTTCCAAAAACCTTGAGCTAAGTTTTCCCTACAATCTTTTTAGTAATTCAAGATATATATGAAATGAAAAGATGAGTAAGAATACACACAGATCTTCTCACAAACACATATATAACAGTATGTGCACTAACCCATCTGTCTGAGGTTAGGTTTCGATCAGATACCAGGTTTGGCCTCACAAACACCAACTGCCACAGTCAGCAACACCTGGGATGTCACTGAGAAAGAGGCTGAAAGAGGCGCGACAAATGATTTGGAGCATTTGAGACCCGCTACTCCTGTGATCCTGACAGTGGATAATTTCCCAGTAAATTCATGAGATTCCAACGCAAAGCTCACAGTACCAGTATCATAAAGCCAACCACAAAGGCGGACTATGCTCAGCTTCTTCCAGTGCAGAAATCCTCACTGCGCAGACTTCAGACAAGAAACAGTTCCCCTCTCTGGGTTGGTTTTCTTTTCAAGGTCACACGGTGCATCAGAAGGCTTTCATTTGCAAACATCTGAAAAAATACATTCAAATCTTATGCTAGATTAAACATATTAAACATGAAGGTGATCAAAAACACATTTAGTCATGCTCATGCACATTTGCCTTATGTTTGTATGTTTCTGTGGTTTATGCTACACTGATGGCATTTAAGTCTCTTACCACTTAATAACAATGTAAGTGGTCATCAGAACATTGAAGACGATGATCTTCATGAGAAGCAGCCTCATAACGATGACAACCACTGTGTTTGTCCACACAACAACATCTGGAGGTCAAACCACACAGACCAACATAAGGAACAACATCTGTATGAATCACAAAGATTGTTTTAATTGTTTGCCAGCAATTAAAATGTACCTTCTGTTTCTTTATATTGATCCCAGATCTTGTCTTGATGACCTGAAATGAAGAGAAAAGTCTTATATTTGTGGGTAGAAATGACAATCAAATCTGAGACTCTGGTATAATTTACTCATGAGCGGCTACAGTCCTACCTGATGAGGTTATGCAGCGTCTCCTGGTGACTTTTGGGTGTCGTCTGTGACTCATGGAGCAACTGTACGATGGCCAGTCACCTGTTGCCACTGTGATGATGGCCACTGCGTTCTGGCCACGGTGCTTCCTGTTTACAGCAAACCTGTATGGTGTGCTGGATATTTGGCCCTCTGATGGTGATCTCCAGCTGACTTCTAGGCGCCCTCTTCTGAAGTCACTCACCATACAGACCAGCAGGGTCCAACCCAGCCTTTCACCCGACAGGTGGACTGGAGGGGCCAGAGATGCCAGCACACCTCCCTCTACCCCACCTAAAAGATGGAGGAGGACCACATGAAGAGCATTACATTTTAGAGATCTTGAGCTGTGGCTATCTAACACAAGGGATATGCGCTGGTAGGGAGGCTGGAAATCAGTCAGATAAGTCAGTTTATATAACCATGCTAAATGTTACATGTATGATATTCATGGTTTTTGCATTCATTTTAATGGCCAGGATAATTTATAGCCTATTTAATAGTTACTAAAAACATTTTACACAAATTGTATAAAGGATACCCACCACAAATACCAGTGTGTGTATGTAAATCCCAATAAAAAAGGAGAAAATCATTGTAAGTTTAAGCATTTTTATGGACTAATGGATTTCATTATGCCAGATTTTAGTGGGTGCACCCTTACCCCTACTCACTAGTCCAAACCAAGGGGTGAAAACCAGAGGGGCGTAAGTGAAATTTGACCAACTCTACTTTATTTTTCTATCCTTTAATTACACCCTTTAATATAGAAATAGTTCAGTGTCTTCAGTTTAATGTCTTTTGTTTTCGTTTTCATTTAGAACTCACATATGCCTTTTTGGAGCTTTCATTTATATATGAATGAATATATAAAACACATTTTCTCACAAAATGTCACTTACAATGAAAGTCTGGTTCTCATCCCTTAAAACACAACAATACAATGCATGTATGAGGTATTTTGTTTAGGAATGACAAGTTGGCAGTTTTGCTTATAAAGACAGAATTTCAAACATAGACTTCAAAATAAATACATATAGTGTAACAGTTTATAATTAAATCATTTAATGCATCTAACATAGTTGCCAGATACAACTCCAAATATGTCAGTAATTAGTTTTTGTGCTGTAATCTTAAAAATGTATCTTTATTATTTCGCTGTAGTGACTCCTGTAGAAGGACTTGTCCATAGATAATATAAAAACCTAAGGAAAGAGACAGACCTTGGGCTACATGAATAATATTATTTTGACTTAATTTGACTTTCAACAGCCTCTGATTAAGCTCAAAGCAGCTGACCATGCTGTAAACATAAAATGTTATAGTTATATTTTTTCCACTTATGATATTCACCAAACATATGTGACTTGTCTAATAAAATATACGCCATAATTATGTATTAGAGATGAAAATGTCTCACCTGTCCATAAATAGATGATTGGAAGGTAAAATAGACCCCTGGATGGCTCAGTCATGTCTGCTTTAGTTAGAGTAGCTTCAGTGATATTTGCCTTGTTGTGTGTGTGTGTGTGTGTGTGTGTGTGTGTGTGTGTGTGTGTGTGTGTTTGTGCACCTTGTGTATATGGGAGTGTGTGAAATGGGGGCATGCCGTTTGGCTTTGCCAGGAGAATTGCATTATGGGGGATTGACATGTCTCATTGTTGTGACCTTATAATAACAATGGACCCCCCCGCACCTGCCACCCAACACACACAACCCACCACCGCCCCCCCCACACACACACACACATAGAGGCAGAGAAAGAGAGGGAGACAGTGTGCGCTCTTACACAAATGAGGCTTTATTTGCATTTATAAAGGGGGAGGACGGGACAGTAGTGTGGACAGTAAAACGTCAGTCATTTGAACAACCAGAGACACACACCTGCTCACGGCTGTTAGACCTGAGGTAAGAAACTGATCCTATCAGCACACCCAGAACATTAGACAACACTGTAGTAGGGTACACCTGTGCGAACACACACACACACACACACACACACACACACACACACACACACACACACACACTAAACACACACACACACACACACACACACACACACACACACACACACACACACTAAAGAAAAAAACTGTTGGGCTGATTAGTTTCAGTGTCTAATCTATGTTCCAGTGTAATATTTTTCAGCTGAAGAATACATTAAATAAGACATTACATATAAAGCTACATTCTCTCTCTCTCTCTCTCTCTCTCTCTCTCTCTCTCTCTCTCTCTCTCTCTCACCCACACACACACACACACACACACACACACTGGGTTTTTTGCCTCAGCAGTGGGCGGGATCTTACTGTAGAAGAGAAAGTGAAACTCAACAGCAGGCACATTCAGGAAGGAAGGATGATGAAGCCAAAATGAACGAGGTAAAGCTCTTTGCCATTTTGACACTCATTTTCTCTTAAACAGTGACCTCTAAAGCAGATACGAGACAAGCATTACTCTACCAACTACTGTCTTTATAACAATTTGGTAGATTTATGGTGAACTTGTGTGTTGTTGTAGCTAACATAACCTTCATCTTATCACTGTCCGCATGGTGCAGCACAACTACTGCCTATGCAGCCTGATTTGAACTGCAGTTATGCTCCTGCAGCTGTTGTCACCTTACAGTTATAGCTGTGTCCTCAGCTTGTTTTGTCCGCATGGAAAATCATGTGGTTCGCTTGTGACATGTTTGAGTCTCCTTCAGTCTGAGATGTGTTGTGATAGTGGCCTAAACAGATCAGTTTGCCAAAACAAGCTGCTCACTCAACAGAATTCATGTGTGATGCTTGCAAGGCCCAAAACTATCAATCTGTACACATAAACACCTTTACCTTGTCGGTAGAAACAGGTGAATTAAGATTTGGGGAGTTTGCTACATTGTGAACTGTATGAGTCATTTTGTTGAGATGGTAACCTTTGAATCCTCAACCATAAAGCTGGCTGCAGGAGGCAGGAAGACATTAATTGACATTAGACATTAGACATCGAACGCAGAGAGAATAGAGGTATAAATGTTCATTGACACATTTATGTGGTGTGTTCTAAATTCTGTTTTAATGTCTTTCAGGTTTAATAAAAACAGGTCCTGAGACATTTTTGATTCAGCTGTATTCTGGTGAACGTGTAACATCTGGGCACATCATCCCGGCAGGGGTTCAGCACTCACTTCAGGTGGTCCTTCATCGCTCCTCGTGTTTGGGATGTAACCAAGTTCAATAATAGCTGTCAACTTGTCACAATACTAGCTTTTTCTTTTTAAATCAGTGGTTTCAGGACATTTCATCTAAAATGGTCTTGGTGAGGCTATTAGTGCTGTCTCTATTTCACATGTCTCTGGTTGGGTCTCAGCCCACCCAGAGTCAACAACAGGCGTCAAGCCCAACCCACCCCTCAGGAGAACAGTCTCCTTTGGGTACTGGTAATCTCTCCTTCCCTTGGAGTCGTCTTCGCCTGCCAAGGTACCCTTTGCACTTTTTTTAAAATCTCACAAACAGGAAATTGCTAAGAAAATTACTGGATCTCTGTTTTTGAGTCGCTGATTAAAATAGCAACACATATTTCTTTATCTTAGGTACATCATTCCTCTTCACTACCACCTCCTCCTGCACCCAAACCTCACAAGCCTCAGTTTCACTGGCTCAGTGCAGATCCAGATTGATGTCCAGAACAATACAAACTGGGTTGTATTACACAGCAAGGGTCTGCAGATCTCTAAGGCCACCATATTGGACCAGAACCTTGCTCATCTGTCTGACCAGGTACAGTAGCTAGAGTTAGAGCTGTCAATACCTAATGTCTCCGTGTTTTCTATTTACGTAGAATTTAATGACTAGAAATAAAGCTGGATTTTTTTTCTCTTTATAGGTTCTTCCAGTTCTTCACAACCCTTCCCACGAGCAGATTGGTATTTTCTCTCCCAGGGTGCTCAGCAATGGGCAAAAGTATTTTCTGTATATTGAGTTTGGGGCAAAACTTGCAGAAGGCTTCTATGGTTTCTACAAGAGCACCTACAGAACCAGCACAGGAGAGACCAGGTAAGACCAGATGGATTGTTTCACAGCAAGAATGGTAAAATATCTTGCATACAGGAAGGTTCTAACTACCAAAAATCCAACTACCATCTGCTGATGTGTCTTTTCAGAACCTTAGCTTCAACTCACTTTGAGCCCACAAGTGCTCGGATGGCATTCCCTTGTTTCGATGAGCCAGGCTTCAAAGCCAACTTCTCCATACGGATCAGGAGGAGTCCAGAGTACATTTCTCTGTCCAACATGCCTGTGGTAAATGTTGCATATATGCTAGACATCATGCATGTTCAAATGTGTATTAAAAATGGCTACAGTAAATTTGTTTTATGTATTTCAGGTCAAGACAGTTGAAGTAGACGATGGCCTCCTTGAGGACCAGTTTGATGCAAGCGTAAAGATGAGCACGTACCTCGTAGCTTTTGTCATCTGTGACTTTAAATCTGTCACTGCGACAACATCTTCGGGGGTGCAGGTGTGGTCTCCCTGACAATAATTAAATTTCTCAATTTCTTGACAACAATATTGCTTTCTCTGTGACACATTTGTTTTGTGTGCACTGTATCTGTAGGTGTCCATCTATGCCGCCCCTGAGAAGTGGCAGCAAACCCGCTATGCCTTGGAGGTTGCTGTCAAAATGCTAGACTTCTATGAGGAGTATTTCAACATCCACTATCCTCTACCCAAACAAGGTACCCTTTGTTCAGTTTTGTGTAACCAAGCCACACAGCATTTTCTTTCTTTCACATATTGTAATTTTCTCCTCTTTACCCGAGGACCTTCTGTCCCCTGACCTGCGTTTGCCATCTCTCAGATCTAATAGCCATTCCAGACTTCCAGTCTGGTGCGATGGAGAACTGGGGTCTGACCACCTACAGAGAGACCAGCCTTCTTTTTGATCCACTCACATCGTCCATTTCTGATCAGCTCTGGGTTACTATGGTGATTGGCCATGAGCTCGCCCATCAGGTGAGAGTGGGACACTGTGTCTGCACTAAAAAAACATGCAGAATTGTTTTAGCTCATAAATCAGATCATTAATTAAATAGACAATGCAGACTGTTAAAATTGAAATATCTTATCTTGCCTGCAGTGGTTCGGTAACTTGGTGACCATGGAGTGGTGGAACGATATTTGGCTGAATGAAGGATTTGCCAGATACATGGAGTACATTTCAGTCGAGGCCACCTACCCCGACCTCAAAGTGGTATGTGCTTGCTTTATTTAATCTGAGAATAGACCTAATTGATTAATAGTGGTACATTAATATTAAGTCTAGGAGAGAGTACTGATGATCCTGTTCTGTGCACAATCTTGTAGGAGGAATATCTACTGCACACCTGTTTTGCAGCAGTTGGTCATGATTCCTTGAACTCCTCTCGGCCAATATCCAGCCCAGCAGAGAACCCCACCCAGATCAAACAGATGTTTGACACAGTCTCCTATGACAAAGTATGCTTTCAGTCTCTTACATGTGTTGTGCCTTCAGCCACAAAGAGGATCACACTGTTAAAGGTCCAGTGTGTAGGATTTAGTGTATTTAGGATTTAGTCACCTTCCATAGAGACAGTGCTTGGTTTGTCAGTTCTGGGCTACTGTAGAAACATGGCTGTTCAACATGGTGGACTCAATAGAAGGCGACGCATGGCATCTGTAGACATAAACGTCTCATTCTAAGGTAACAAAAACTTAACAGATTCTATATCCAGGTGATTATACACTAATGAAAACATAGTTATGCATATTATATATATATATTGCCAATAGAGCTTCCTAAATGTTACACACTGGACCTTTAATAACAACTCATTATGAGTTTGTTATCTATGGAAATGATCCAATTATCTGCAAAAACAGGGATAAATTAAACAGTATTTTAAAAAACAGATATTTCTATTACTCAGTGGCTTGAACATGTCTGAAATAGTAGGAAGACAGCCTCTAAACACACACTTACTATGTAACTATTGATTACTGAATTGATATTTTAACAGAAAATTTAACCTTTTTCACATTTATGGCTAATATCATTTAAACTGCTTTTACATCAACCTACAGCATAACCTGCCGTGGCCCACGGATTGAATAAACCCCTTCTTTCTCTCTCCCACCAGGGAGCATGTGTCCTGCACATGCTGCGACACTTTCTGTCAGATGATGTGTTCCAGAGTGGGATAGTTCGATACCTCCGCAAATACAGCTACAGAAATGCACACAACCAGGACCTGTGGGACAGTCTAGCAAATGTACAAACACAAACTACAGTAATTGTTGTGAAAGGTGTCATTGTGTTATCCTTTGTCATCTTCTTGTAAATCAAAAAGTTAAGGTGTATTGGAATTTGCAGAAGACATACATTTGGTTTTTTTCTTTAACCAACTTTTTCCCCCCTATTTATTTCATTATGGTGCAAAAGTAGGTAATGAAAGTGAACATAATTTGCCAAGTTATATTATCTTGCTCAGTAATGCAGTTGTATGTCATTTTAAAAGCAAAAACTGCTTTGCCATGCAACGATAACAAAATATTGACATTAAATAGGCAGACATGGTGTCCATTGTGATGACTTGCCAAACATAAGTTAATTTTTAATACTGTACAGAATTGTGAAGGTGTACTGTGGTCAGCCGCAATGAAAGGAGCATGTGATTCACAAAAAATGTAATGATCTTGTTATTGAATTTATGTCTGAAAAAATTTAGCAGGTTTAATTTTATTTTATTTTGTTTGTCAGACATGCTCTGAGGAGGACTTCATCTCAGGAAAACACTGTTACAGCAGCAGCCAGGCCTCCAAGAATGCCGTGAGTAAACATTTAAACATCAACTCGCTGACCTCTCCTCATGGGCTTGCTCTTAAAAATGTCACACCATTTACAAGATGGTTTTTTTCTGACCTTGGGGTGGTGTGGTTACATTTTTTGATCACCAGTTATCTCCTACAGTACCTGTTTGCAGGGGAACACCTGGACCTGACAGCCATGATGAACACTTGGACTCTGCAGAAAGGTATTCCTCTGGTTACTGTAACTAGGAAGGGGCCACGTCTGCTGCTCAGACAGGACAGGTTCTTGAGGACAGTGCTGCCTTCTGACCCCCTCTGGTCCACATTGCAACAAGGGTGAGCATGCACATGCACTACAATTTTTTTACTATTCTATTCACAGTGCACGTTGCTCTTCTACTCTTTATTTTTACTCTTGCAGCTACTCACCCTTATTATACTCATTACCAATGATATTCTCTTTTCTTGTATAGTTTCCTGTGGCACATCCCTCTGACATACAAGACAGATGCTTCCAGCACCATCCACAGACACCTGATGACAACACACACAGGTAACGAGGAAAACAGAATAATATGCTAAATATAATTCATACACACCTTCACTTTTGCTTTGCCATTATTTTATATCTTCTTTCTTGCTATGCATGTCTCATTTAGACAGTATACATATAGGAGAGGAAGTCAACTGGGTGAAAGTAAACACAGACATGACAGGCTACTATGTGGTACATTACGAGGATGGTGGTTGGGATGAGATGACCAAACTACTTTTGGAAAACCACACTGCTCTGAGCTACAAAGACAGGACTCACTTGATACACAACGCCTTTCAATTGGTCACGTAAGTGTATGTGTGTGTATGTGGTTGTGGGTCTGTGTGAGAGAACAAGAGACAATGATGTCTGAATGTCTTGTAGTTAGACATGAACAGTTTTTATTATCCTACCTGAAATAGCACCTAACCTTTTAAATATTCTTGTGTGTCTCTAAAGGGCAGGTCATCTGTCACTTGATAAAGCTTTAGATCTGATTGGTTACCTGCAATTGGAGACACACACGGTGCCTCTCCTCCAAGGACTGGGCTATCTGGAGGCCTTTTACCGGATGATTGAGAAAAGGAATGAATTTGATCTAACACGCAACCTGGGGGTAAGGAGACAAGAGTGGACATTTACTATGGTATTCAGTTAGTATGAAATGCAGCTTAAGTTTAGACGCTGTTTCTTTGTGTGCTTTGTTGCAGACGTACATATTGCGATTTTTCCGAGCTGTCATTAACCAGCAGACGTGGAGCGACAGCGGCTCTGTGTCAGAGCGACGGCTGAGGTCAGACGTCCTCTCACTGGCTTGCCACCTGGATGATCCTCCCTGTCTGGACCGGGCACGCCAGAGCTTCAAAGACTGGCTTCAGTCCAATGGTACCCTCAAGTATGTCTGTCTAAATTATATTTTAACACAGATCATCATCAGTCAACAACCACTGATATGATCACATAAACAGCAGATATCCCTCTGCTAGGGTGGAGCATATAATTTGATATTTTGTCATGTCCCTAATATGCATGTCTCTCCTTGTGTTTACCTTAGCTTGCCCACTGACGTGGCAGAAACAGTGTATTCAGTTGGAGCTCAGGATGACCACGGCTGGGCCTCACTCTTGCACACATACAACATCTCCCTCTCTGCAGCACAGAAAAACAAAATCCTGTTTGCCTTGACCTGCAGCAGAGACGCAAACAAACTACAAAGGTACATCTTCTCCCTATTGCATTTCACACATGGGTAATGCTGCCACCAAGTGGCAAATGTGGGGTATTGCGTCAGAGTGCTGCTGCTAACAGATATCCAGTATTTTTTCTATGTATTTTTTACAAATGTGTTGAACAACTTACAGTGTTGTGCTGTCAAGTAATGGAAGGTAATGTGGCGTTAATAGAGCAGATTATATTGTGTGTGTTTGTGTTGCAGACTGCTGGAGTTGGGTCTGGAAGGGAAGGTGATTCGATCCCAGGACCTGTCCAGTCTTATCCTGATGGTGGCCAGAAACCCGCAGGGACATCACCTCGCCTGGAACTTTGTCAAAAAGAACTGGGACACGCTGGTTGAAAAGTTAGTACAACATAATGGAGACATTGGGAATGATGTATTGCTATAAGTTAAGCCATGTGCTGCTATGAAAATGCAGCTTTCCTTACCATTTTAGAACATTACAATAATATTGTATCATGCACATATACTCACATGTGGTCTTGTGAGTTAGATTCAAGAACTTTGTGTAAACCAGTAAGACCTGCCTTTTTAGTGGCTTCCGTGCCATTCAGTAGTGGTGGAACAGGTTTTAGATTTGATAAAGATCTGGTTAACTACAAGCACAACACAATAGGTAGTGGATTCCACAACTAGGCGATATTAAGTCTGTGACTTTCCTCTCTGTTGTCTTTCTGCTCCTCAGGTTCCAGTTGGGCTCATTTTGTATTAGAAACATCATCATTGGTACCACAGGCCAGTTTTCATCTCCAGAGGAACTCGCTGATGTAAATGCACTCTTATATTTCAAACTAATCCATATTCTACAAGGCAATTAAGAGATGCGCCAATATTTCAACATGCTATTGTTATTGCATTGTGTTAGCAATATCGGCAAATATTAGTGATAGTAATGGTAGTTAGTGATTAAATCAAAGTCATCTGGTCTTAAAAAAACACTTGGCAATGTCTGAGAAACCTAACCTGTTTTGCACCTTATACTTTCACCTAGACCCTTTCAAAAATGCAAATGTTTTTTCAGTTGTAAAATAGTGTGGCACTGACACAAAAAATAATAAAACTATAAGCACTAACAAATGTGTGCTAACCTTGTAGCAAACATAATTGTGACTTTAACTGAAAGAGGTCTCAGTCTTATTGTCATTTGTTTGTGTGTGTTTTTTGTAAATGAATGTGTGTTTGACCTCCAGGTGCAGTTGTTCTTCGAGTCCATCAAAGAACAGGCTTCTCAGCTGAGAGCCACTCAGGTTGCCCTGGACAACATGCAGAAAAATCTTCGCTGGTTTCAGAGGAATCTAGAGACTCTGAGAAACTGGCTGAACAAGCAAATGCAGTGAAAAAACATCAGAAAGAGGTGACGGTTGATGATAGATGCCAGAGAGGCGATATTTTTGAATTTGTAAGTGTTTTTATTTGCAAATTGCACTGAAGAGTTGACAGTTTTGTATATGAAAAAGCATTTTGTAAATTTTCTGGGGACTTAATTGTTAGACAAAAAACAAAAAAATTTAATTTGTGGAACTGCCAGCTGAGTAGTAGTTGAGTGTGTGGGGAGCTGTGTGTTTACCGTGAACTTTGTGTGTTGTGTGTGTGTGTGTTGTGTGTGTGTGTGTGTGTGTGTGTATGTGAGAGAGGGAGAGAGATTCATTCCAAAGTGACACTCAAATGCTGTGTAAATGGATTCTTTAAACTGAAAATTAAAGGGTTCATTATACCTCCTGACGCCTTTGTGTGAGTTGTGAAACTGAAACATATCCTTGTGTGAAGTACTGAACTATTGTGGGTGCATTCCTGTGCTTGTGTCTCTATGTGTGCTGGTAAATTCATCATAATAACTATTTATTTTAGGGTTAAGACTCATGTCAAAAAAGTTTACGCCCTACTCTTGCATCTTTAGCTCATTAGTATTTGCACATTGTCACTGCAGTTCAGTGACAATGTGCAAATACTGCTGCATACTTCAGGCATTAAGGATCATTATCAAATTAACATTAGCCACAGAAGAATCAATACTGGCCCACAAACTACAGGGTGACCCAACTACATCAGAATGAGAACCATACTATGGGTTTCGGGGCAGCTCACCCTTTTTTTAGGGAATAATGGCGATTCAACAAGCAGACCGAATGGGACTAAGAAAGTTGCTACTGTGTGAAGTGAATTAGTGATGAATCAGCCTTATGCATGAATCATACATCAGTAATAGCCAAAATAGCATATTGTCAGTATTTTAGAGAGAGTTCGCACCCTGAACAACATGCATTTTGAGAGAAGTATTCCTTATTTCTTATCCACTCATGACAATTGGACAACTATGTGATGCCTTCGCCATCCTAGGAAACATAAATCAGCCTGCAAAATGCACATCAGAGGGGATTTAGAAGATGGTATACCCAATGCTGAATGAAGAATAAGTGTATACATACACAAGTGGGTTGAGACTAAACATCTTTACATTGATTAGGGTCCGCCTCATAAGCGATGTAAAGAAAATGCATGTACGTGTGTTGTGTGCCTTGGCCCCGCCCCCTCCGGCAGTAACATCCAATAGGATGTCAGAATGGTAATTTGATGGGAGGTTGTCAACAACTGGTCGGTCGAGGAAGGAAAGTGTCGTTAGTTTACCGATCATATTAGAATAAGATTTGTTTACATATCGCCTATCGTAAAGGTCCGGTGGTGATTTGTAGACAGTCCCGTCGCGTTCAGGTGTAATCGGACAACACAGCTATGGGCGATAAAGTTATGGAGGCAAGCTAACGTTAGCACAGCTGAATGTCTTTCAGTCAGTTTCAATTGTTAGAAGTTGGCTAGTCCCAAGCTAGCCACTACGTAGCTAACATTGGTACAGTGGGGATAGGCTGCTGTTTATTGGGAGCGTCTGATAGCCTGCGGTGGGTTGTGGCCAGCGAGAAAATAACATCCACGTCTGTCGAGCTGCTGTAACCGTGAAGAGGTTTCCCCTCTCGGACACCGAGGGAGCTGTTGGAGATATCCCCACCATGGATCCATTTGACAGCAACAGTACAGGTAAGGAAGGGGAAGAGGGGGATAATGTACACTGACAAGCAGAGCTAACAGCGGCAGCAGCAGCAGCAGCAGCAGGCCGGCTAATAACTAACGGGACATTAGCAGCAAGCTCCCTGGGAGTGACATTCACCCGAGGACACATGTTGAGAGGGGTGGGTTTGACTTTTACATCAGCTAAAGGAAAGCTACCTCAAGTGACTGGTTTCTTTCGCTGGCTTTTGTTTTTGTTTTGCTCTCTTTTACAGTTGAGGGATTCTCAGAAGCTAAGTTAATCGCAGCCCCCCCCCCCCTCCTGCACGGTCCTGCAGTGGGATGATAACATTTATTTATTTATTTTTTACTGCACATCATTTTCCCTTCACTGTTTGTGAATCTTGTATTATTATTATTATCTACGTAATGTTTTGATTTTATTTGAACTGAACAAAGCTGACTGCCTATCCTGAAACATAGTGTACCACTGTTAAGACTCCAGTTGTCATTCAAAACACAGCAGCACTGTTTGCCCAGTTCAGGTCTGTTGGATTGATAATAGTTGTGTTTTGTCGTGGTGTGGAGAGCTGATAAGTCATGCTCAGCTCAGGCAGCCAGCAGCTTTATAACCTCTCTATGGTCCCAGGGCGACAAGAGCTTTATTAAAACAAACAAAAAGGCCAGTGCACACACTGCAACAGCTCCCAGGAAAGCTGAGTGTTCTCCTCACAGGATGTTATTTTGTTCCATCTTGGCCTCAATCAGAAGTAGAAATCACCAAATCACAGCAGTAAGACTTCCTGTTTTTGTGTGTTTGTGTGTGTTCTTGGTTGTTCTGACTTAGTGATTTTATAGTAAGTAAGTCACATTTCACAACCCTATTGTGATCAGATAATGATGAGTAAATGTAAGCAGTTGCTTCCTTCCCATTTATTTTTAATGACCAGCCAACCAATGACAGGATCGTGGTCAGTGCTTTTATGTAGTGTCTCTGTTGTCTGTGCTGGGTGAAATAGAGGAAGCAAACTCGTACGCATATATTAAAGTGCATTTCTGTGACTGCAAGGTAGGGCGATGCATGTTTTAAACAGGAAGAACACAGTCAGCGGATGACATGCCTCACTTCTGTATTTACATATAAGCTGGACGAAAGTGAAAGACTTGTTGGTTCTTAACATTTGCCTGGGGTATTTTCTAATTGTACTCTAGAAGATAACCACCACATCACCTGCCTCTCTCATCTGTCATCTTGCTTATGTAAAATAGCTTTCGATATAATATTTCAACAATGTCACACAGCTGTTAGCAGTAGATAATATGACAATCATTATCAATTGAGTTTGATATGTTTTTTTAAGGGTCTTATTTTCGTCCTCTGCACATTACACATTACCTACTACTTAGCTCTTAGCCTATTAATAGACAGTCATACCACAGCAATGTGGTCCAGATAGAGACACAGTGACAGCCCATACTGTAATGTCAGAAACATTGTACAGGACCGACAAGGGACTATATTCACCTCATTCATTTCTGGATTCTTGTCTTCCTTGTGGGGAGCTAAAGCTCACCGTTGTTTGCTGTCATTGTTTCTGTATGTGCATTCAGTAAGTGTTTACTGTCTCTCGGTGCTTTCCACTCAAATCCATCACCAACTGAGACTGAAAATCCATTGTCTTTAGCCCGTAAAAGCACGAATGGAACGTGAGGCAAAGGGGGAGATTTGCTTTGCATAGGGTTTTTTTTTTTTTTTTTTTACTACTTTCGTTATTATTAAATTAGGAAGTTGAACATGCACCTGATTGTTTCTGGAATTACTGAGGGAATTTTGTCAGACAAGGGATAACTCTTGTCGTGATGTGGAAGATGCAGGTTAGTTTGTGGTAAACTGCATTATCAAGTGACATGGACGGATAATGAATATACTGCAGTTAAATGAATGAACTGTGAGCTGTGAACAGATTTTGTAATAACAGTACTTCGAAGCCAGAACTCATTCTATGTAGGTCAAAACAGCAGGAAATGCTGTAAGTTTAACTAACAGGAAACTGAAGAAACTCAAGTCAGTGCTTTGTTAAACAAGAGTTCATGTTGACTGCACATTCAGGGACAATAATAAGCTTTTGTGTTTAAAAATGGCTTGTTGCCACTACTCTTGTGTGGAAAACTGAAACTGCAAAAACACAGCACATATGTTAACATACAGTACTGTTTGTTTGTGTGTGTGTGTGTGTGTGTGTGTGTGTCAGGGTATATAACCATTTGGATTATGTTCTGTCTCTCTCTCACTTCTCTTATTTCCCCTTCATCTGTGTGATTTCTCTTCCTCTGCAGAGCGAGCCAACCTGCCGAGGAACATGATCGAGAACAGCATGTTTGAAGAAGAGCCTGATGTGGTGGATTTGGCCAAAGACTCAGCTGCATTTCCGGTATTCTCATATCATCTAAGGCAATGCATCCTCAGTGTGTCTTCATTTCAAGAACCAGCCTGACTCAATAATTTGCATATATCAGAATGCGTTTGCCCCACTCTGTTCACGTCTCACATGTGCTTTCATCTTTAATGAGATCAGAACCCATATAAATAAATTTCAGTTGATCTGATGGCCGAATCAGCTGAAATTTGTGGGTAACCACTGATTCTTATCTGCACACTGGTCTGTAGATTATTTCAGATCTGTCAGCTGTAACTATGTATAGTCAACATTGTGAGAATTACTTCTAGAAAAAAAGGTACTTAATTTCAGACTGACAATGATGCTGTATCTTCAGTGTGTTAACAGTATCTTTCTCTTCAGTGCTACAATGACTCATTTTCCCCATTCAGCTTCTGTTAGTACAGATATATTGTATTATAAATCAGTATAAACAAAGTCTTATGAACCTTAATTTCGTCCCCCAATCCCCAGTACCTCTATTCATCAACACACCTTTTCCTACATTTAATTTCCCTTTGAAACACCCCTAACGCTCTGCAATCATTATGATTTACCTGTCATCTGTGCCCTGTTTTTTTGTTGCAGTTGTCCTGATATTATGTATTATTCCTGTCTCTGCTCTCACTCTCCTCACCGCCTCCACATATGACATCTTACCCTGTGTTAATTAATTTACCTGGGAAGGCAAACCACTTGTTAACATTATATGGTAAACACTGCATAGCTTAACTGGATAATAACAAAAATGTACTGTGCATGCCCTCTCTAGACGTTTCCTGCTCTTGACCCAGATGAGGTGGCGTATGAGCCTCGTAGCTCACGGTTGCTTGTGCGCGGCCTGGGAGAGAATGACATGGACGAAGATGAGGAGGACTGCGAGTCTTCAGCCCGTCTGCTGGGCATGTCCTTCATGAACCGTAGCTCTGCTCACAGATCCAACTCTTCCCCCTACACCAGACAGGCTCCACCCAGGTAATACACTGAAAAGGTCATCATTCGGGGTGTTGTGCAGTTTGTTGATGGAGAAAAATCTCTTTCCAGTGTGGTAAGCCCTTTGCAGTATCGCAGATTATCATATGCAATAGCTTTTGTGATTAGTTTGTGGAGTCTGGTGATATATAAGTGTTGAATTCAGAGGAATGTATTGAAATAATAAAAAGTCAAGCTTCAATTCCTACACATGGTGCAGATAAACGAACATTCACACATTAAGGAGCATGGAAAAGGGTTATAGTCTGTTGTAGCACCACCGTCTACATCTTTTTCATAAACGCTTCTCCTTTTCACCTTGTATTTTTACATTACTCAAAGTAAGTAATGTTAAACTCCTTTTGGTCTCAGGTCATGTTCACGGCCCTCAGCCCGTACCATGGTCGTATGTGTGTTATTCCTGGTCATAGTGGCCTCTATGACCATGGTACTGTACTTCTTACCTGGATGCACCTTTACCAAGGTAAGAAAAATACTCACCAGTTCTATTTAGGTAGTTTTTGTGACCATGCGTCGATAGCTTAACGTGACTCTTTCAACATATTATGTCTATATCTCAATGAGATTATTTCTTTTTTTAAATTTCTCTATCATACCTGTTTCTCTGGATAACCCCGACCCTCCATCCTTCTGCAGACGGGTTGCCGTAAGGAGAACAAGACCACGCCCATCGAGCCACCCTTTCCATGGTCACAGTTCCGGCTGCCTCACAGCATACGTCCTCTCAGCTATGACCTCACCCTGAACCCCGACCTTGATAATATGAACTTCACCGGCAGCACTGTTATCAAAATGGTTGTCCTCCACAACACCAAGCGCATTGTCCTGCACAGTGCTAATCTCAACATTTCAAAAGCTACCTTCAAGGTGGGATGGGAAGGAGTTTGTGTGCTGATGACAGACATGATTGGCTTTCTTTGATGTGCAAACCCTGCCTGACTAGATGTACAGAACTGTGTACAACTTTTTGCTTTTGTTATGTTGTCTGTCAGTTGTTTACAAATACGTTCTCTCTTCCAGCTGGATGATGGGGAGGCCAGTGATGTGACTGTACTGGAGTACAAACCCAGACAGCAGATAGCTCTTAACTTCTCAGAGGAGCTGAAGGCGGGACAGTACTGTGTTTTGACCCTGGATTACTCTGCCAACCTCTCACACACCTATGATGGTTTCTACAACAGCTCATATACTGATAAAGATGGAAACAAAAGGTACACTTGACTAATTGGCTGTGCTGTAAGTACTTCACAACAGCTGAAAGATGTGCTGCAGAGTAATGACTTTATAAAAAGCCTGTATGGATCGTGTGTCTTCACAGCTAATCTTGTGACCTTTGGCTCAACTCATGACCAGACACTACAAAGCTTTGCTGTAAAGTTAACTTAATAGCAATTAAAAACTTAAATTAGAGGCTGTTTTATTGATTTTACAGCATTTATCTAATTTGTTATTTGATTTATTTTCATGCTCATCTCCCTCTTGTCCCCAGGGTCTTAGCTGCAACCCAGTTTGAGCCACTGTCAGCTAGGAAGGCCTTTCCTTGCTTTGATGAACCAGCTTTCAAAGCCACCTTCCTGATTAAAATCAACAGAAAACCAGACTACATGACTCTTTCCAACATGCCTAAGGTACCATAACATGAGTAAAGTCCTGGTTATAATTACAGTATGGTAACAAGTTTTGAAACACACCACTTTGTGTGCTATATGGCCTTTTCAATGTGTTTATTTGGTTGATGTAGTTATAGCACACTGATATAAGGGGTGTAAGTGTTTGACAGCTAAATCTTCGAGATTTATCCAAATTCTGAACTACAGTTGGTTTTAATAGTATTTTTCCAAGTACTGTTAGTCTATCAGTGTTTGTGCTACATTGTTAGCAATCACAAGCACAGATGTTGGGTATTGACTGTGGTACCAGTGGTTATTAGTATGGCAGGCTGGCGCTGTATACCAAAAAATATGATTTGCTATGTTCACAAAATGGCAGGTTTATGAACTTAAAAGAGTTTTATCTTTGTCAGTGTGCACAGACTCATTCCCTTCACTGCACACTGTAAACTGCAACTGAGCAATAATGTCATGTGTGTCACCTAGATTGACACAATTTACAGTACAACATTATGCCATGTCACTCACTCTGATGTATATTGTGGGGAGTGTATGAGTCATTCCTGTTCCCGCTTTGACTAGTAAGTTCTTGGCGTGGGCACAATTAAGCTCATATACCATGTATTGGTTTTTGCCTTCAGCGCTGTATTTCACAGCAGTCTGAGAAGATGCTAAACTGGATTTAGTTAAGACTATACTATTAACATTTGTTGGTTGTAATCGTCTCCTTATTCTGTGTGTTTCAGGCTAAAACCACACCACTTAACAATGGCCTTGTGCAAGATGAGTTTGAAATGACAAGCGTCAACATGAGCACCTACCTGGTGGCCTTCATCGTTGGCAACTTCACCCCTGTCAGCAAAAATGTCTCAGAAATTCTGGTAGGTCTGACCCAGATATAACTCTTTTTGCTTTCAGTGCAGGCTGTATGTATATTTAAACTATAGTGTTCAGTGAGGTTGTTGCTGATAAACTGTCTAGATATATGTTTATATATCCACGTCTGTGTTTTAGGTGTCTGTGTACTCTGTGCCAGAGAAGAAAGAGCATACCGACTATGCTCTTGACGCAGCTTCCAAACTCCTGGACTTCTACAATGACTTCTTTGAAATTAACTTCCCCCTCAAAAAACTAGGTGAGTACCCACTGGCACTTGCATGTTTTAATCCTCCTATGATTGTTCTTTCTTGTCTCCTCCCCTCTTTACACACCCTGATATGCTCCCTCTCTTTTTTGTCAGACTTGATAGCAATCCCGGACTTCCTGGCAGGAGCCATGGAGAACTGGGGACTCATCACTTTCAGAGAGACCAGCCTGCTAGTGGGCAAACAGTCCTCACCTCTGGAAAAACAAGTAGTTGCCTCCGTCATAGCGCATGAGCTCGCCCATCAGGTAGTTGTGTTCACCTTTGTGTTTGTGAAAGTAGCAGAGACTGTGAATGTGCTGCAGACAAGTCCTAATCTATCACTGATGTTGTGTCGCAGTGGTTTGGAAACCTGGTAACTATGAGCTGGTGGAATGATCTGTGGCTCAATGAAGGCTTTGCCACATACATGCAGTACATGTCACTGCAGACAGTTTTGCCCCAGCTGGACATTGTAAGTTTACACTTCTTGCTCATAAATGAACCCCTGCATATATTTTGACGCAGATAAAGTTGTATGCTTCTCTGTGTGCCTTAGCAGTAAGCCCTGTGTTTGTTCGCAGGGTAATTTGTTCCTGGCAGTGCGGTTCAGAGCCTTGGACAAAGATGCATTAAACTCCTCCCACGCTGTGTCAACAGCAGTTAATTCACCAGAACAGGTGGAAGAGATGTTTGACTCTGTCTCCTATGAAAAGGTACACCTTTATATATATATATATATATATAGTATATAAGTAGATACATAGATGTTCATCAATTCACTGAACCTCCATCTCTTGCTGTTTATCTCAGAGACCTCACACTCAGTTATAACCGTAGTTAGTGCTCTTTTTGTTCTGATAACAGATTTCCTCTGTCTTTCAGGGTGCGTCCATTCTCCTGATGCTGAATGCTTCCCTGTCAGGCGACCAACAGTTCAGAAAGGGTATCATTCAATACCTAAAACAGTTCAGTGGATTAAACACGGACACTAACGACCTCTGGAACAGCCTTACACAGGTGCGTGTGTGTGTGTGCTTTCTTTGTTTTTTAATGCTATGGACAGCACGTATCAGTAGTTTATCACTTTGGCTACATTTAACGCTTAACTTCCCCCTGTAATCCGTCAGCGAGCCATCTGGCTAAAATATACTCTCCCTGATATCAGCTGCATTTGGCTATTTTTACTGTTGCTGCATAATGGGTGATCACAGAGCTCAGGAGCTACATTATCACCATAAAAGGCAGTAAATGACTTGTGATAATAGTTGATAATGTAATTATTTATTGATCCTTTATGAGCATTCATCTTTTTTCTTCCTCCCCTTTGAAGGGAGGTCAGAGCACAGGATGCTGTAGGTACAGACAGTAGATTGGATAATTACTGTTAAAAGAGCTTGAAGCCAGTGCCCGCAGTTTAACGGCAGTCTGCCAGCTCATTACTTCCCCCTACTGACAAGTTGATGCTTTGCTTGCGCCTGCTTGGTCTTGCACAGGTTATCTGGAAGTTTTCCACAATGCTGCCAGTCCTAAAAGTCTGTTAGTGCTAAAAAGACAAGGCATAAAAGACAAAGTTGATTTTGCAGACCTCAACGGCTAATAACAAATCATAGAGAATGTTGAGGCTTATATGGCTCGAAATTTCAGACCACTCCCACAATTATCTTCATTCACTCAGAAATGGCAATGGTACTAGACTGCACAGACTCTGGATTTGTCCTCCTGTCCTCAGATTGAGGTCTCGACGCAGCACCAGAATGTGTCCGAGATGATGAGCTCATGGACGTCACAAAAAGGCTTCCCACTGGTCACTGTAAGCCGCAAGGGTGATCAGGTGACCCTCACACAGGAACACTTCCTGCTCACATCGGACAATGCCACACATACTTCAAGGTGGGTTACAATGCCACACACACAGACCATAAAAACACACCACTTACTACTACCCTAACTGTATTCTGCTCTCTCTTTAGCTTGTGGAATATTCCAGTGACGTACGTAAGTGACAACTGTAGTTTGGCCCCTGAGTGCAGACAGTTGTTCACTCTGAAAACCAAGTCAGGTAAAACACAAAGTATTAACCTGCAACATCAGGTCTCATAGTCTCTGGAACTGTGTCAAATGGTAAATTTGTGTGTTTGTGTGTGTTTTCAGGGACATTTAAGGTGCCAGAAAGTGTAAAATGGTTGAAGTTGAACTACAGAAACACAGGCTTCTACATTGTCCACTATGGAGACGATGGCTGGGCTGCTCTTAGAGATGCTTTGGCCAACGATGTCAGTGTTCTTACACACGAGGACCGCGCGTCGCTCATACACAACATCTTTGCTCTCTCCAGGTATAGTGGACAACATAAACAGTTGTTGTTTGAATTGCATTCAGTGACAGGAGAAACTAGTAGAGGAGTATTTTCTAATTCTTGCATTTGACTTATTAAAAGCTTTTATTCTCTCCTGTGTTGTGAACAGACTGGGACGTGTGTCCTTCCGTCATGTCCTCAACCTGTTGAACTACATATCCAATGAAACAGAGACTTCTCCTGTGACAGAGGCCTTGTTACAGCTCAACAAAATCTACCAGCTGCTTGACAAAAGACAGGAGTACAGTCTTGTGGCCCGCATGAAGGTACATACATATACACACCTACAGTCAGAAATTTAGGTCACAATACATTTTGTGGATAAAGATATACTAAGCCACATGTCTGGCAGACACTTGAACATCAAACATCCTCAAAAGTTTGTAAAAAAATATATATTTTTAATATGTTGTTGTCAGCATGGTTTATTAGACTGGGAGTAATGATAATATGGTACGTTTATCAGTGACATAAAGGCAGTAAGGCTGTTTAAGCAGTAAATATTTAGCCATTATATGATAAATATGTCTTACATTTATAGCTTCAATGCACAAAGCACAAACCACTTAAAGTTACAAATTGTTAGCACTGTAACTGTCTGGTTTTATGTAAGCTTTAAAACACACATTTTCATCTAGTTTTAGTGAATTTGTTGTTGGTGAATTTTAGTTATTGTTGCATCAAGGAATCTAGGATATAAGCAACGTCCCAAGTCTGTACAACATTTATGTTGGTCAGTTTGTAAGATTTAGTCTTCTTGTGATCTGTTTAGCTGAGTGTAGTGTTTCTGTGTACTAATGTATCCATGTTTTTCTTCTTGCATATGACAGACTTATATTCTGCATCATTTTGGTTCTCTGATGGACAAACAAACATGGGAAGAGCAGGAGAGTGTGTCTAAACAGGAGCTGCGCTCAGCCCTGCTGGAAACGGCCTGTGGTCTAGATGACGAAAACTGCACTCAGCAAGCCAAAGCCCTGTTCAAACAGTATGTCGACTCCAATGCGACCTCACGGTACGTAGAGCACACAAGAAACTATTTTTGAGTTGCTTTTCTGGGTCACTGTCAAAGCAGGGTGAGAAGAGCAGCCCAAATATATTTTAATTGATAGATAGAGACAGAAATTATCTTCAGCAAGGATGAGGGAATGTGACTTGTTAAATTGGTAAGAAGTAAACAGAAATTTGGTGCATTTGTAACCTAAAATATGTTTGCGTCTTTATATATTTGTGTAGGATCCCAGGCGATCTGCAGCAAGTCGTATTTAATGTGGCTGCTCAATCAGCTGAAGATTGGCCGACTTTGCTCAACCTGTATGGACATGCCACATATGACGCAGAGAAGCGTAAAATGCTGCGGGGCCTAGCATCCACTCAGGACGCACGGAAAATAGTATGGTAAGTGTTTGTGTGTGTGTGTCCTGGCACAGGATCAAGCATCTACATATTTTCTTCCCGACTGTGGACTTCTTATATTCATCTGATCAAGTCAGTTTCATTTGAAAAAGCTAAAAGAAAGAATTAAAAATGTATTTCACTCTCAGCTGAGCTCAAGTCCACTGAGAGGCAAAATCTGACCAATCTACCGCACCAGAGCAATTTCTTAGTAAATTACACTTGAATATAAGCACACATAGATTCAACTTGACCTGAACACCCCGAATCAAGTCAAGTAGCATCGATATAATAAAATAGCCTCAAAATGTGACATGTAAATGTAAAAAAAACAAAAGCCATGTATGCTCCCATTTCATTGTTGTTATCGTGACAGTCCTAGCTCGTTCTAAACAGGATTAAAGGGCTTGACAAACAGTTCATTTTCATGTTGTATGGAAGTGATGATAATGAAGTAAGTGTAGTGTCATTGTTGTTTATGTCTGTCGGTCTGTCTATCTAGGATTCTAAAAGCAGGTCTGAAGGGGAATCTCATCCAGACACAGGAGTTGCCTTTGGTCATCAGCACTGTGTGTAAGGGCTTCGCCGGCTACTTGTTTGCCTGGGATTTTATACAAGAAAACTGGGACCGCCTCATAGAGAAGTAAGTGGCCTCTGTTTTAATATTATTTCTCATAAAAATGAAAAGATGAAAACAACATCAGTATTTTTGGCCGTAGGTTCCCTGTGGGCTCCTTTGCCATCCAGACAATCATCAACTCTGCCACCTCCCAGTTCTCCACACAGGCACACCTTGATCAAGTATGTTTTGTTTTCTCTCAGAATACATTAATGCTGCAAGGTATTTGAGCTTCTGTGCACTTGTTTGTTGGGAGATATTAACTGTTTACCGAATGCTTTTAGTGTGTCGAGTCTGATCTGGCACCTGAATGTTTGTGTGTGTGTGTGTTGTGCAGGTGCAGGGTTTCTTCTCCAGTCTGAAGGAGCGCGGCTCTCAGATGAGGAGTGTGCAGGAAGCTTTGGAAACCATCAGGCTGAACAAGCGCTGGATGGAAAAGAACCTGCGTACACTCCAAAAATGGCTCTAACACAGACGCTCCATCCAGTCTCAGCCCCTCTAACAGGCAGCAGGGGCGTGTCGTCAAGACAACAGCAGTGTTTGCACTATTATAGGACTGTGTCTCTTAACTCCCTTGATCCAGGCCAGAGTATTAATCAAAGCCAGAGGTTGTGCTCTATCTGGGTGGAAAAGGTGTTTCATTTTCTGAGATTGGTCCTGTGAGTTGTATTTGCTAGCTCAGGGTGGCTCTGATTGTGTGTCTGACAGGGAGTTGTCAGATGCAAACACACACTCCTCACTCTTAATGCTGTCGACCAAACCTCTCCTCTGCAGCTCTCATCTAAACCTCATGCCCGAGCAGACAATCATGCTTCACCCACACTCCTTTCGCTCAGCCTGCTCTCAGGCACTTAACTGTATGAGCTGTGCAATGGCCACTTCAAAAAGAGCAGGTATGAGGAATGTTACCGTCTATGTATGTATTGTCAGTCAGTGCAGGACTTTCTCTCGACCATCGGATGTACAGTATGCAGATGCAGCCGTCAGGGATTCCGCAGTGAGTTGAAATTACCGGTACTTGAGTGATGGAATTATTCTAAGATTTTATCGCTGTGTGATAAGGATCTATATAGAAACAACAGCTGCCGCCATTCTGAGTTTCTCTAGTTACTCATGTCACCTCAAGCATTTACTGTATTATTCATGGTTTGGCTAGAAGATTGGTTGATTGATTGATAGCTTAAAATACCAAATTTGCATTGGCATCAATTGAATGTACTGAAAAACCTTCCCACTGTGTACAGTAGATGGCGTACTGCACAACAGTGCAGCTTTAAGTCAACAACCAACGTGTCTTAGGTGAGAGCAGGCAGTGCACACTGGAGCCAAATATTCTTTTTTTTTTCTCTTCCTTTCTCTACCAGTCATAAACCCGGTTTAGCTCTTATAAACAAGTTTTATTTTAATTGCTTTTTGTCTGCAGTGCAGTCACTGTACAGACTTTAACTCTGTGTGCTTGTAAACTTGTAATTATAATATAAATAGGCTCAACCCTTCAACGTTTTCCCCTGCGATTATGGATGTACTGTTTCAAACATCTTGACTTTTAACATTTTAAGATTTGCTTTGTGTTATGTATATAGAGTGTAAAGAAGAGATGTATACATAGAATTGATCAAGAGTCTTGGTCAAATACTTTTATTGTATTTGTTGATTTAGACCACCCCAAGGAGGTCACTGCTGATGAATGTTTGTGTTTTAAGGGCTAATGTGCATATTGGAGATACAAAGTGTATAGAAGAACATCTATGTTGGGCATGACTAATATGTCCCAAAAGCTGTTGCTCATCAGCCAAATACAGAAGGTTTAAAGTTACTCCAATGTTAACTATTTATTGAGAGCGTAACTAAACAGGTCCCCCAACATTGTTCCAGGACTATGTTTAAATACAGTTTTACACTCATCATGAGCTTTATTTAAAGTGGTACTGCTTACTTATCCACTCCATCAACTTCATGATTATCAGGATAATTGAGAATATACTGGAGATTTAGTCATTTTCTTTGGACATCCTTAACAGACTTGCGTTTCTGTTTTTGGTTGTCACATTTTCTTCTTCTGACGCCTCTGTCTCATTCATGTAAAAACTGCGTCTGCAGGATTTTCAAGTTCATCAAAAAAATAATGTGTGTCACAAAGGCGACCCCTGAGATCCGGGTTCAGTTCCCGGTACTGTTACCTCTGGCTTGGTTACAGTCCCAGTGAACATAATTGGCCCTGTGCACAGGTGGGAAACTTTTGAGGGGGTCATGTGTTTTGTTGCTGCACTAGTGACTCCTACTGGTAGGTCTAAGTGGCAGTAAGGTGGGGTGGGGTCCACGAGGGGACCAGACAGAGTGAAGCGCGGCGCATGAAAAGACACACCAAGAGACACCATGTGTATCGAAGGCATGGCTGTCTGCACCCTCCCCAGGTTAACAGTGGAGGTTAGCAGTATGATGGATCAAAGTACAAATAATTTTGCATTCCAAACTGGGGAGGAGAGATAATGTGGTAATAATGAGATTGTCAGACTTTACTTTGCAGTTTAGATCTGTCTGGAGGTTAGAAACAGTATTGCTTTTGACTTATTCCATCCAGTCCATCATAGTTTTATAGACCGTGTAATAATGTGTTAAATTGCCATTTACCTTTAAATGCACATCTTATACTTTTATGTCCTAGCTCCGTTTTATTGTGAAAAGGTGTCATCGGTCTAGGCCACTTTTTTTTCCAGCTGCCAGCAATCAGATAAATTAATCAGCTTTATTAAGTCTCTGGGACTTTCTGGTTTTTCGCCACATTTTGGTTAGAGAATATGAAGATGTATGAAGTCATTTGCAATAAGCTTTCAGAGATGAGTGTTACTGATGTCATTCAGGTACAGTGATTAGTCGAAATAGTTGATGTAGCCGGTCTGATGAGAGGATATTAGTAGGTTTTACCACAGTACCACATGTGCAGTAAACCCAATCAGATTGTCTTTGTCTTTGCACTGGGATGAAATGCTGCAGATGCTTTTGAAACTGTATTGCTCTTCATGTGAACAAAATATAAATAAAAGGTGTTTTCTGAAGATGTTGGATTTTGTTTTTGATTAAAATACTAAGGACACTACTTGCTAAGTACTTACAACTTTACCATCATTCTGAATGGACGTGATGGTTTTTAGTCGCTGATCAACATAAAAAGACTATTACTGCCAGTATGTTGTCGTTGATTCTAGTCATTAAACATTATACGTTATTTTGAAATTGTGGGAAATTATTCTTTTCAAACGGTGACAGTCCAAATCAAGTTAAGCTGGAAACAAATAGCTTAGCATTGGTTTTGAAATGGTATACACTTTTGGTGGAATCTAGCCATGTTAAATTTAATTGCAGTGAGATCATTTTGTATAAAGTCCCCACAGATGTCAAAGAAGTTAAAGAAAGTCTCCATGAGATTTAGTGTGGTAGAGTTGCGTATGAGGAGGCACAAATGTGAGTATCAAAGTATCAAAACCACACTGAAAATACTAGTGAAAGTCCTGCTTTAAAAACCTCACTTAGGTAAAATTATGTATTATCAGCAAAATTTAGGAATAGTAAAAATACCCATTATGCAGACAAATCTTCTGTGTCAGTGCTTTACTTAATGTTACTGCTGCATTAAAGAGGCTATGTTATGCTTTTAGGGGTCTCCCCTGTGCTTTACTGTGTTATATACATTTTTTGTGCATATAAAAGATCTGAAAAGTGACAAAACCAAAAATCCACACCAAAGGGAGTTACTGTCTCCCACAGAAAACACAGCTCCTAAACTGTCTGGTCTCTCGTTTGTATTCAGACTTTTCTTCCACTTCCCTAGGACATCATAGAGAACACAGCACCACCTATTGGCTCGGTGACAATCTAGTCCCGCCCCCCAAAACCTAGTGAATCCACCTCGCTGTCCGCCATTGTTTTTTACTCCCTAACATGAATCCTGTCCCTAATGTTAAGCCTTGTTTGAAGCCAACTAAGTAACAGGACAATGTCGCTACTTGTGTAACTTTATAGACGGCACTAGCGTTAGCTTTTGTTGTTATCCTGGCTGGTTGTGTGTGTGTCGCTGCTAAATGTAAAACCACTTGATAGACGTGTGAAAAAGCAACAGCCAGACTGCAGGAATTCATTTGCTTAGAAACGTGTAACACTGATTAACACTTTACGGCTAAGTTAGCTTGCTCATAGCTAAAAAACAAACAGCGAGACACACAGTGGGCGGGGCCTGCTCAGGATTGTGGAAGCTGACCAATCAGAGAAGACTAGGCTGGGGGAGGACAGGACAGGAGCTCAAATGGAGTGTGCCTTTTGAACATTAAAGCATGTAATACTATTATAGTAGACAACATACTAGTATGAACCTGAATATGAGCATAATATGACCTCTTTAATGTGTATGTTACATTTTACTACTAATTTAACTACTTTATATACGGTTGGGTAGTTAAATCTACAGCAGTGCATCATATTCTATGAGATCATCATATGTTTGTAGTGCTGCTGTCTTGTGAGATCTAAAAGTCAAGCATTTTCCAGCTAAGCCAAGGTTTTGTTTTAAACATTGACAGTATATGGTTTTTAAAAAGTTTATTTAGCTAAGGAGCGAAAAGAACAATACTTGCACCTGAGATGTAGTAGAGAAGAAGTATACAGTTACTTCAAATGGAAATACTCAAGTAAACAACAAGTATCTCTAATTTGTAGATAAAGATCCAGTGTGTAACACTGAGGAGGATCTATTGGTAGAAATGTGTATGTTTTCATTAGTGTATAATCACCTGAATATATGAACTGTTGTGTTTCTCCCATGGCCTTGGAAAGGGAGGGGGAAATGAGTGAGTGGCAGTCTGTAACTACATTGCTAGATGAACTGAATCCTTCACACTGTGCAGGAGGAAGCCCGTCCCAAAGAAACACAGTCAAAAAGGGAGCCTGGGGTTTGTAAAAACATGAGAAAAAGGAAGATTATTCCTGACTTTGTTAACAGCAGTTGACAAAACAATCTTGCCACATGGGCCATTTAGTAGCTGTTTTGGAGCTTTTGATCGTATCAGAAGATTTTCCTTTTTTTCTGAGCGCTTGAAAAAAAGACAAAAGAAAAAGTTTAGACTGAAAGTTAAATTCTTGAGTTGAGAAAGATAAAAAAAAATCTGGGTCATCAACTCAAACAACTCAAAAACAAAAACCTTCACTCAAAGGCTTGGAGAAATGACGTGATAGTTACTCCTCATCCAGTTTCACGAAGCTTTGTCACATTTGAGAACGGAAGTATTTTACGTGGATTGTTGCTTTTTAAAAATCTACTGTGAATCTTAAGCTGCAAAACCTCTAAATGCCAACCACCGGGAGGATACTCTCACTGTAGGTTGTTCATATGTACAGTGAAATGCCTTTTACATGATGCTTCTCAGTCGTACCACCAGAGGTCTTTCTAGCTCTTCTTGAAACTTGCAAACTGGATTCCTGCTTAAGAAGTTGGAGATTATGCTCATGTTTGTTTGGATATATTGTACTGCTGAAGATGTGGATTGTAAATTACTGTAAATGATTGAATTACACACTGGAGATGTTGTGGGAAATCATTTATCATTTAAATGGGCTTGAATCCGCAGTGGAAACCATTACTTTATGTCAAATCTGCAAAAAAGAATAAATCCTTTAGTCTAGTTATAAAAGGGATTTGTATAACTGTTTTGTGCATTTGAATCCAGCTCACCGTGACAAACTGTTCCTTCTATGTGTGTGTATGTTATATGTGTTTTAGAAACTTTGTTTTGCTCCTTGAAGACTTGTTTTGGCAGAATGCCATGCAGCTGGAAGACATCATAGCGCCAGTATTTTCACCCTCATACTTTCTTTTTTGGCCAATTAACCAAACTGCACAAGGTATAAAGACAAATGTGGGCTTTGTATTGAAAGAAAAAAAGTAATACAAATGCAGTATAATTACCGAATAAGCTGTATGCTTTATGAGACCTGACAGACACCATAGGGCACAATACATTGTCTTCGTTTGCTGGTAGCTGGGAACGTGCCATGAACTGTACAGTATAGTTTCAGTAACTTTACCTTCAATGATGGCCATACATTGGACTTTTGTGGTCTTTTGTCAGTGCTCCCAACATCATATCATTTGTTAGGATTCGTAGCACACTGTAGCAGAAGTACAGTGTCAAAGCAGAGTACAGAGTCATGATAAGACATCTTAGGCATCTTAAAGATAATCTCTGTGATATTTATCATGTATAGGCTTCCATAACACATGATGTTGAAAACTTAACTTTCTTTAACTTAAGAGTTTTCTTTATTTGGATAAATGTCTGAATGCAGTACTTGAGTAAATGCACTTAGTTACTTTACACCTCTATCTTGTGCTGCAAACTTCTACAATCAGCAGATATGTAGCGCATAAACAACCTGCATAAATGATTAGAAAGAAGGTCAGGCCATGTCACAAAACGTGAGTCAAAAAGGCCAGGACACGTGCACAGATCATTTTCTACCCCCATACAGTCACAACCCTCGCTGGAAGCACAACAGCCATTTGAACTATGCAGCCCTGCTGGAGCATAGAAATGTCAGGTTGACACAATCAGCACAGCTGATCAAGGACAGTCACCCCAGCAGTCATTGAGATGTCTGATCACTAATACACAAAGAATTATGGAGAAAGTCTTTGTATGGAAGGAACCAAGAGTGACAGGTGAGCAGTGTGACTAGCCGATTAGGTGTGATGTTATGTCACAACACATGTCTGTCTTCAAATGGTGGCTATAGGCCTGCACATGTTGCTGCTCCAGTTTATAAGTTTTGTGAAAAAATGTCCTGTAAGTTTTGGTTCTTTGAAGACTGTGGCTGCAGAGTTGTGCATTTTAAGGCAGCAAAGTCAGCTATGTTTGATGAGATGTTGCAGACCAGCTGAACCACACTAGTTCCTGGAGGTGCAGCCTTGAACCGTGTGATCTAAACCATAGTGATAGTCATCTAAAATACAATTTTGGGTGTCAAGATTTCTGCTCAGTAATTATGTGTTAAGAAGTGTGTGGTACACTAGAGCTTGATACTGGACTTTAAATGTGGCATTACGTTATTTTTATTGGTAAAGAACTAAATAGGGCCATTTTAAGGTAGGTATTTAGGTTATTACTCTTTGCCATCTCACCATGAGATGATACTAATCTAAGCTGGCAAATGTTCAGTCTCTCTGACCATTCAATTTTAGTCTTTCCACTTTTACAAAAGAAGCATTTCCACAGGCAGTCTGATAAGGCTGGCTGAGTCTAAGATTATGTGATAACCTACATGCAACATAGATGTTAGGATAGGACACATCACATGTGTATATCCAGCTGGCACTGTCATGAGTTTAGACTTCAATGTTCAAGATAGGTCTGTAACTATACTGACGTTAATCGAACTGGCAGAGGTCCAGAAGCACTGTGGAAGCATCCAATAGATCAGAACAGCAATTTAAACAGCAGTCACTCCAGGTCGTACTGCATGTGTTAAACATAAGGACTTTCCCCTGAAGCCTCATGCGGCCATTCAAATGATTTGTTAAAAATAATTAAGACTCAAACAGACCTTGCTACCACAAATTAATTCTTGTCATTATCTGTGAATCCAATTTGCACATCTTCTTCAGACAAAAAAAACTATGGAAAATTGTGTTCTAAAATTGACTCTAGTTCGCACCCTAAATCATGCTGCTAACAAGAGGCAGTAGGGGCTGTATGAGGTCAAAAGATGTAGCACATACCATAAATCATCATGACTTAAGATGATTCAACTGAAAACTGGCCATGGTTCACCTCATAGTGGTTGTGCGTTCCTGATAAACTCCCCTTTCATTAAAATATTGATAATTTATTCCTGTCCTCTCAGTCAGAGGTGGAAGACTTTGCAGTTTTTTAGTAATTCAGTTCATGATAAATTGTTGGCAGCTTCTAGTTTGTGGTGTACGCGATTATCTGATCTTTAAAACTTATCTTCATACTGTATCTTACACGTCTGGATTGAGGAAGAAGGCCCTGGTAGCTTCTAGAAAGGT